TATACTGTATCTGGTGTTTAGTCTTCTCTACCGCTAACTGTCACTAATTCAGGAATGTAGAGTAAAATAAATAGTTGATAATTCTGACATAATACCACGTGGAATGGCACGCTGTAAAAGGTCGTGGCTTGCGCACTTTGGCGCCCACTCATACTTTTGTTTGTTTAGAGGAAAATCACATTGGATTATCTGCTATGTCCACCTTGGGGAATCGAAACCCGGATTTTTAGTGTTGTAAGTCCGTAAACTTATCCTTGTCCCACTGGGGGGGGGGGGGAGACCCACCCATTCGCACAGGCTGTAAAGAGAACCCCCTATACTTAAAACAATTATATCTAAGAAACTACTTGCCTTAGGGATAATACAATTTCACCAGAGTTACATTGAGAACCAGAAGATATTCTGGTGAAATGTATTTCCCCACTAGGACAAGTAGTTTTGGAATATCATTTTGAATATGGTCTTCTGTATAATTACCCTGTGATAAGAAATGCTTGATGACTTGTTTAAATGGTATTTACGTTAAAATGTGCTAGTCTTTACCCAGTTACACTTTGTTTTTCTTCTTAACATGTAACTGAAGGAACTAACACCTTTTGTTTCGAATGAACAAGTCATTTTTCTTTATGTATCCCGAGACACAATCGCACCATGGAAACGTTTTGACGTAGTCCAGAAAACTACACTATGTTCTATTGTAAAGAGATTGTTGCCTAGGTATGACAAACACAGTAATTTGGATCTCCAAAGTAGAATGATACATAAGTGTTTGCAATAATTCATACGCGGAACACATTAAGTGCTTGCTTGTTGCATCTGAACAAAAGAGTCTTTAAAATATCTCCATAAACACTTAACGTTTAAAACTGGGCATGTAACGATCCTATGACGCCAACACTCAGCGTGGAAATATTTATCACATAAGCTTAAAAACAAGCAATGAAAAAAACTCAGTCTACATAAACTAAAACAACAACAATAACTTTGGAGCACTTTGTGGTTGTTTTTTGTTAAGCACAAAGCTGCACAATGGGCTGTATGTACCCTGCCTACCTCAGGTTTCGAAACCCGATTTTTAGCATGAAAACCCCCCAGTCTTGTCGCTGAGCCACTGGTGGTAGGGTGTAGCACATTCTGCAATATTTTATTTTTGCGTAATACTCTTTGTACTCTGATTTTACATACTTGCTATTGCTCTGCACATTTATTTTTGCGTAATACTCTTTGTACTCCGATTTTACATACTTGCTATTGCTCTGCACATTTATTTTTGCGCAATACTCTTCGTACTCCGATTCTACATACTTGCTATTGCTCTGCACATTTATTTTTGCGTAATACTCTTTGTACTCTGATTTTACATACTTGCTATTGCTCTGCATAGACTTCATAGTGGCCACATGTTTTACACTTGCTCTCGAATCGTCTTCGTACTTAAAATATCTCTGAGAAGTTACTTTATTTTATTAATTTAAAAAAATATATTATACTATATCACACGAAATAGATCAAGCCTAGCAATTTGCTTTAAATAAGGCCTGGTATATCTTTTTTTAAGTGCATCAAACTGCTTATGGATTCATAATTTTGTTGGTTACAAGATCCTTAAGAACATGCCAGTCGCAAAAAAAAAGCTAAACAAAAATACAAATATTCCTATTAATTACACTAATTGCTACTGGGGATCTCGTGTGTATTTTACATAAAAAATGAGTAATTTCTCCTAATTGTTTTTGGTCAATTCTATACAATAAGTTTTGTAACGGACAAAACATAAAAATCCCAAAATGATGAATTACATGAACCTCAGCGTTAGTCGACTGTATAAAGACAAAAAGGTAATTTGGGGACAACAGGAAGAAGGAAATTAGATAATTATTTGATTATATTTTGTACAAATCTCTAAAGTAAGTTTAGCGAAATCTACTTTATAACATTAAGCAACTAGAATAATTCTTTTAAATCTTCGTTAAATCTTTTAAAGGTTGAGAACAACTTTTTGTGTTCCTATTTCATTTTTCGGGAGGCCCGGCATGGCCAGGTGGTTAGGGCGCTGGACTCGTAATCTGAGTTCGAATCCGGGTTCGAATCCCCGTCCCACCAAACATGCTCGCCCTTTCCGCCGTGGGGGCGTTATAATGTAACAGTTGATAAAATAGTAGCCCCAGAGTTGGCGGTGGGTTGTGATGACTAGCTGCCTTCCATCTAGTCTTTCACTGCTAAATTAGGGACGGCTAGCGCAGATAGACTTCGTGTAGCTTTGCGCCAAATTCAAACGTTTTTTTTTGTATTTTAATAAAATCATTCAAGTAACAATATATACATAGTACGAGATTTTGATATAAGTTTGAATTAATTTTGAACGAAAAAAAAGAAGATCCGATTTAGTAATTTCCTTGTCCCAAAATGTTCATAATATTTCTCTTAGAACAAATAAAGAAGAACTTTCTATCTTTGTCATAATAAGCCACGTGGTTTGGTACTATATATTTATAAACATAACAATTTTGTATCACGTGAGAAGTTCGTTACGTTTAACTTCTCACAATACCTGAGTAAAGTGGAAGTATTGATTTCACGTATATGTGTTTTATGTTTTATTTTTCTATGTCTGAAATTCTGTTTACTTGAGTAAGGATAAATCTATTTTTCTTTTGTTGTGATTAATGGTATATATTTTTTATAACATTTCATATATATCAGAAGATGTTTCAAACTCCCTCTACCCGAGTCCTTAGGTATTTATTTCTGTTTTTGTTTCTATCTGTGGTTTAGTTTTTAGCCGCGGCATAGTGGCTCGTAGAACAGCTTTGAGTTTTTTTGTTTTTTTTTCCAAGTACAAACTTTTAGCCCATAGCTCCGTCATCTCTTCACCGATTTGAGATCTAATTACAGTTTTGGACTCGGGAAGTCAAACTCTTTCGATTGATGTGTTTGATCACACCCAAGGTCTCAAAGATTAATTTATTCTATTCCTGCCTAAAAGAATTTCAATTTGAGGGTAGGCTGGTAGAGATCCTGATGAGTAATAAAATTGAATCGGGTATACGCGTGCCCCATGCTTGGTATTGCTGGCGCACACAAATATAGCTAATAAAAAAAAGGGGGGAGTCTCATAGATTAATTTACACTAATCCTGCCTAAGAGAATTTCAAGTGCCGCGGCTATTGAGGATTCCCTCTTGTTTATTTAACATTTCTTATTTTTGAAATACTATGTTTGAAACTTCCTTCGTCTGTGTAAGAATGACTTCTTTTATATTTACTGTGATTTTGGTTTAGTGTTTCTAGATAAGATTTTTTATTTCAGAAATTATGCACAAGGCTTTTTACCTGAGTAAGGATGAAGTTATTTATCTTGTGATTTATGTTTCAATTCTTTTGATAAAACATTTCTTACCTCAGAAAGTCCCTTTATCCAAGTAAGGATGAATTCATTTCTCCTTTTTTTGTGATTTATGGTTTATTTTTTTATGTAAGATTTGTTGCTTCATAATAATGTGAGCCTTTAACTTAAATTTCTTATCAACTGCTTTGAGAAACATAAAATTCAAGCTTAGTTAAGGAGAGCCTAAAATAAAAAGTAACTTGAAAACTTAAACTTATTTGTTTAACATCCTAATCAATTACTTCTTTCCCAAGAATATGTGACAGTCTAATTAACACTTGTAGAATTCGATAGATATTGAAATCAACTTGTTCTGTGATTGCTGCTAGAGTCCACACGTTGCTGATGTGCTACAGACAGTTACACACAAACACAGACATAGAGCGTGGGAGAAGAAGTGTTAACCTTGACTTTTTAAACGACCTATACAAGGAAGTGTACCCGGAGAAGATCACAGATAGATTAACTGTCAAAACTCGGCACTGTTGATATTTGTCATATAAGCTATTTAACATAAAGCTCTGTCTGTGAATAAAAATTACCTCTACTATGTCGTCACTATTACGTTAATTCGTATTTATATAGAGACAAACAAACAATATGTGCACGAAGCTCCAGCAAAAAAGAAAGAAAGAAAGAAAAGTGTCTAATACCATAATAGATAGAACTTTACTAGTCAGGAGCACCCGCCGCCACCTGGGCGGTGTCCGGTTTGGCTTGTTTGTTTGTTTGTTTGAAGTTAAGCACAAAACTACACAATGGGCTATTTCTGCGCTGCCCTGCACGGGTATCGAAACCCGGTTTCTAGTATTGTAAGTCCGCAGACACGCCGCTGTGCCATTGGGGGGAGGACAAGTTTTGAACCGAATAAATGGATTGTCTACCACTCTTACAACACACTCAGAGATGAAAGTGCACAGCTCTATCAAAATTTCAAATTACAGAACTTTAGAGACTTTTGGGGCAGCAAGCAACAATGTTAAAATGAAAAAAAAAAAGAGAAGAAAGAGGGAGAGAGAGACCGTTATGCCCAAATCGGAACTGCTAGCATATATATGAACACTGTAATCGCAATTCCTCAAATTTCTGTCATTTGGTTGATACAGAAAAAATAAGTTGTATATTTGGTAAAAGGAAGACTGTTTTTCTCCCTAAAAGTGTGCCTATAAACTTACGTTTTATCGACGCAACTCCACCTAAACGAAATACAATAACCTTAACCTCACATTCAATTATACAAAAAAGGTGTTCATACCATAACAGTTAATTTCAAACTGTTATATACCTTAATAAAACAAAAAGAAAATATGGTGAATTGACAAACACACTTTTTATATCATCTTCTGTCAAATTTAAGTCTATAAAATCAAATCCCACGTTGATAATCTACTTGAAACAGAAAAGGTCTACTCGGTGAATTTGTTCACCAACTTTTTAAACAATTATTAAGGTTACAATTATATCTAGATTATTGCTTTAATTTAAAAAAAACTAGTTTAAAGACTTTGCTACTTTGTAAGTTTAAATAAACTATAAGAAACTTTATTAAGAATAAGTATGTATTGTTTGCAATTTTTTTTTTTTTTTATACACATACTGTGTATTTCTTTCAGGCTTTTGGGTGACGGTGAAAAAAAACCGTTTATTGAAGAAGCGGAAAGGTTACGCTCCAAACATAAAAAAGACCATCCGGACTACAAGTACCAGCCTAGAAGAAGAAAACCGCCAAAAAGTTCAACATTTTCCACCTCTTCAGTTTCTGGCACAGAACCATCACATTTACCTATAAAAGCTATAGCTTCCATTGGTCATCGAAATAATCTTGGAGCAGATTCTTCGGACAGCGACAATAGATCGTACAACAACCTCTATTCTGGTCGTATTGGTCCTTACCCTCCACATCAAAGCCCACCAACGCCACCTACAACACCGTACCATGGCGCCAGAATCCTTCATCACAAAAGCAGAGAGGAAACAAATTCGTTAATATCAGACGGGATCATACTTCAATCAGGCAGAGGTTTGGACCTAACTACATTTGTATCAGCAATTTGTAACAAAAAAAGAGTAAAAAATCTTAATTGAATCATAAACATTAATTTTGATCTTCTATTTCTCTGAATATTCTGAAACTTTTTTTAAAAACGACTAGTACAACACACTAAATATATGCGTAACGTTCAAATCGACTTATTCAACTAATTATGGAGAGCAGAAAAAGAACCATCTAACCATATTCCAGGGTACCAAATTAAAAAGATAACAACAAATTAACGAAATCTGTACTTCATGTGTAATTAACTTCTTAATTCTGCGGACTTACAACGCTAGAAACCGGGTTTCTAGCGTTGTAAGTCCGTAGACATGCCGCTGTGCCACTAGGAGGCGAGACTGATTAGATAGATTCACTGTGATAGTTGGTTATACGAACAATAATAATCGTCCGAATGCATTTAATAAAAACTTTGTGGTAAGTCAGGATGAAGGCCTTTATGTTACGATAAAATGTGCATATATAGGGTATCTAAAATTTCACTTACATCACATAGATATTAAAGTTATTGCTATCTTAATACCATATCTGATCGATTGATGTATCTAACATGATTCCTAAGGATATTTTGGATACTGGAATTAAGCATTACTCCACAAGAGTTTAATGATATATAGTGCACTTTGACGTTCATAATACTGAACAAGGACAAAACCAGAGTATTCACAAAAAATAACGATACTAATTTAAAAACAATAAATCCAATGACAAATTGAACACTGTTCAGTTGGATTGGGCGTTTTCGGAAATTCGAAACGACACGCGATGAAGAAGACCACTCACTGTAAGCGTGTATTTTTTGAAATATTAGCATTATATTGTGAGATGTAATTTACTTTACAACTACGATTGCGCTACCGCTAAAGTCTGACTCAGAAATATATTTATTAAAAAACTAAAGTATTATTATGTTGCTTATCGTGGACTGATGGTTAGTGTGCCGGTTGGTGTATTGAAGGTTCGAGTCTGTGACATGCTGCTGAACATGCTCCACATTTTCAAAAATGATAATTAATCACGTTATTAAGTCAAGATTAACACTGTAAGCGATAGGCGCTGCTGACCAGTTCTCCTCTCTATGGTCTTCAGTTCAAAATTAGGGCCGGCTAGATCTGAACTTTGAGGTTTATGACCTGGCCGTTTATCCTCTGTGCTCTTCAAATAATAATAATAAAAAAAAACAAGAAATACTTTGATTGAATTTTCGCAAAAACCTTATCATGCATCGTTTTTATACATCCGCACGAAATTCTAAATTTGGTATTACATGAACATGTGTATATTCATGCATTTGGTATTACATGAACATGTGTATTTTCATGTATTTGGTCTTACATGAACATGTGTGTTTTTATGTATTTGGTCTTACATGAACATGTGTTTTTATGTATTTAGTATTACATGAACATGTGTATTTTCATGTATTTGGTATTACATGAACATGTGTATTTTCATGTATTTGGTATTACATGAACATGTGTATTTTCATATATTTGGTATTACATGAACATGTGTGTTTTTATGTATTTGGTTTTACATGAACATGTGTGTTTTTATGTATTTAGTATTACATGAACATCTGTATTTTCATGTATTTAGTATTACACGAACATCTGTATTTTCATGTATTTAGTATTACATGAACATCTGTATTTTCAAATGGGTTCAATGTGTGCATTGAACACTAACGTTGGTTAGTGTTAAGTCATGAATATTTTCACATCAAATCATTTTAAACTTGGACAACAACATTTTGTAAATTTGATTCCAACCAACAATCAGAATTTATAATTATTTAAAATTTTCTATAAGACGTTACTATGTGAATAAAGGTGGATTTTTTATGTTATTAGCGAAAACCGAAAAGACCGCGAAGTATTAGTTGATTACAATCTGTTATTAGAATTACTTGTAACAGAATTGAAATCTTATAATGTAATTTATTCTGTTAAAAAAGTAAAGCTCATATAGTTTTAACTGCCTCAAATTACTTTTTTCTCTAGGTACCACACAGAACCCAGTTAGCGTTCAGTCAGGAGGAAGTAGTTCAATAGTGCTGCCATCTAGGGAGACACAGTGCAAATACGCAAGAGTGGAAGAATCTCCGTCCAGTCAAGTTCCAACAATGGGATCTCACGGAGCCGTTGATCCATACGTTCATCTAAGCTTAACTGGAGCTCCGCAGTACTCTCACATCCCCCATGGCAACCTCTCTATGGTTGGAGCTGGAGCTTCTTCTACTACACCTTGGGGCCGGTTCTCTGCCGAGCAGTTTTCTCAAGATCGCCTTCGGGTTAGCTGCTTATCTAGTGCGCATGTGTCTCGTGAAGACCACCACATGGTGGGTGAGGGCTTAATCGGAACCCAGGGTTGCAAGGAAGGAGGCCTAGCAGGAGATCGAGGCCCAGGAAACCCGCCACTGGACCTTTATCGGACCCCCAACTACAGCGCTGATTACACCACTCGTCGTTCCGGAACTACAAGTTTCGTTGAACCAGAGAGCTTTCCTCATTGCACAAAAGCCTTCACGACTCCGTCGGCATTGCTGGGAGTACAAAGCTGCCCTATGTTTAGTCATGTAGTTCCCGGCTCTCAGGGGGAGCCATCACTATTTGTGCCAGACAGCAGGCCTCAGCTCGAAGGCACAAACTCGTGTGCTTACAGCTCAGGTCATACACTGGGTCATTTTCTTCAGCCCAGGTAGTAAACTTTCATAATGTGTGTTTATAATATAACTTCGGGAAGAAATGTTTATGTTTCTATACACATACCTTACGCCTTGATCGACTCTGAACTTTTAAGCGGTGATGTTGCTCCACGTCATTTTTATTATCAATTACAAATCTATCAATTCAATAAGATGCATTGTTTTAGAGTAGAATTTAATCACTTAAAGAAGCTTAATAAAATTAATTTTCAGCGTTATTCCGTAGAACGTAGGGTATTTTGGTCAGTGCAGATAATCATTGCGTCAGTATTCGAATTGCAGCGTTTGGTGATCATTGCAAGATGATAACTTCAAAGTAATGATTATTTAATATTTGTAAAATTCCCGTCGAGTACTAACGAAATATAAAGGTGCAATACGAACACTAGGTTGCCACTTGAATAATGTTTTCATTTTTGTACACTGTTTTAAATTATATTTAATAACCAAATGAAACTAGGTAAAGATTATGCAACCAGAAGAACTGCTAAAACTTACAATAAAAATTACAATATCTTTAATTATGACTAAAAAGCAAACTTTTTTTCGGTTATGCAAAAAAAAGGGTCATAAAATATAGAACTGAGATCATTTGTTTTTTAATTTCATGCAAAGCTGCGCTAACCGTCCCTAATTTTGAAGTTATAGACTAAAGGGAACGGAGGGAGTCAACACCGCCCAACACCAAGCCTTGGATTACTTTTTACGAACGAACAGTGTACCCCAGTATCACATCATTCAACTGTGCGTGTGTTTTTATGAATAACAATTTTTGATCTGAATAAAAAATCACACTTAAGCAAGCTAGCTAACTTCACAGAGTGCACCCTATTGTACATTTAAATTTTCTTTTCTATTGCTGCTGTCTGGAAATATTTGATTTCGTTAATCGTTAATCAGCAGACTAGATTTGCCGCTGCCGCCATCTATTGAACGTATTTGATAAAACAAGTGTGACATTTCCATCTCCAATAATACATATTTTCGAACATTTTAAGCCAATTGAAAAGAACGTACGATAGACTGTGCTTATATTTTCTCTGTAAGTGTATTTATTATAAGTGGGTGGCATTTATGGAGCTAAGCCATGATGGATTTCAATATAATCATTATGGTGAAATGAACTAAAAACTGGTTTAATGTTGTTTATCTTGTGTATTTATCCCCTTAGTTGTAATATATTAATTTGTTACAGAGTTATTTTACCTATTTCAGCTATAACCTAGATCTAAGTGAACGTTAGATATGATACCGTTACGTAAGTTTATATTATCAAGTTAAGAACTCTGAAAGAAGTTCTGTAATAAGTTAGAAAATAAACATGTTGTTACGAGCGAAAACAAACAAACACAAAAAGGTATTTTAAAGCCACGAGCAGCTATATCTCTCATCATAAAGCCTTCAGTTTGAAACATTTTTTTTTGTCTGCATTATAAATACTAAGATAAAAATGGCCAAGTCTGACAACCAGTATATGTTAGTTTACCAAGAGATTGAATATAAAAAAAAATATTTGTTTGAATAGTGAGCATACTGACGAGATAAATAACGTAATGAAGAAAACAAAGGTGGGATTGCTGAGTTAGTTTCTTTATTTTACGAAGTCCTGTAATACTCTCGTTTCACCCATATTCTGGAACCCAGGGAGGAACAGTAACAAGTAGTAACTTTTAAACGTTTAATATATAATATAACTTGCGTACCTTCTAACTTCCAGAAGGACTTTAGTATTGTAAACAAAAAATGGCTAATAAAATATGTTTCATATGACATTGTGGCGTCTTTTCTTGCGCTAATAAACCCACTAATCCAGTCTTGTTCTTCTTAAAGTTTTTTGTGCCTCTTAATGTAATAATTTTGATTTTGTTTCTCAACAGAGTATAAAAATTAGATCTGGTATTTGTTATAACAGTAAGGAAAATTGTGTAAAACTCCTATTTTTTTATTCAAGATTTTCACAGTTTATTTTCACAAGTAAGAAGTTGATAGATAATTATTTTGAAATCTATACTCAAATGTTAAATACCCCCTAGTGGCTTAGCAGTAAGTCTGCAGGCTTATATATATATATATAAGCTAATCTGTATGATTTAAAAGTGGCTACCATGATTGATCCTATGATTAATATTTACTATTCAGCAGTTTGAATAGTGAAAGAAGGAACTTATAATTAGTATGGTTTACAGTGCATGGAAAATCTAAATAAAAGACAAACCAAAAAATATGTTCTTTGTACGAAGACACTTCTTATACGTGCGAAATCAATGTAGCGTTTTTTCGTTTCGTTATATGAGTAACTTAGACATACAAAATTATACAGAAAATTCAAACCCACTGACATAGTGTTTGAACATCAGGTGGCGCTAACACCTCATTGCTCAAGCTTTCTTTCTTTTTAGTTGAAACTTACTGTAACAACTTTCCGAATAACCTAAATCCCAAAAATATTTCGAAAATAGAATCATAGAATCGTCTAATTGTTTTCGGTTATAGTACAAGGTTTACTTGAAATATATTTTAACACAATCTTGTTTCTCTTTTCTTAGAAATCGTCGAGTTCAGCAGAATGTTAGTGCAGTTGTTAATAAAATTACAAAGTTAATGGTGAAACACTCTGTGAAAGACTTTTGACGTATTTGATATTATATCCAACTGGTCATATCTCTTCGAAATCAAAATATAAACTTCAATTTTTTGAAGATAATTTCATGTCACAAATTCGATATTTAAATGCAAAAAAAAAAAAACTATTAGGTAAAGCACAAAATCTTGTATTCTTGAGAGAGACTTTGATAAATAATGAGAACAATGGAATTGTTCATTTTATCTCTGTCGAAATGAAATATTAGATATAATTCTCTGATGCACAGGTTCTGTTGAAATGTATATCCAATCATGTAGTCTCCACCAATGGGTTCATAAACTTCTTAGACACAAGAAGGATAAATACTTAACTCGTGCTAGCTTTAAGTGAATCTAACTATCAAGAAACAAATTCCAAAGCAACGTTAAGCCCTGTCTCTCACAGGCTTAATTCTGGAAAGCGATCTATAGAGTAAAACATTACACAGGCCCGTGAATTTATACTTCATAAAAGTAATTTTGGTTTTAATAATGGATTTTCCATAATTCAGCTACGCAGATTTCGAAAGTAATATTAATTTTTTTTTGTCATGTACGGATTTTTTACAAATCAGGAAGAAAAAACTCTTACTTAGATCAAATTATTATTTCGGTTACCACAATAAACATTTTTTTTATTGTTATGTTTGGATTTTAGAACGATCGACAAGACTCTCACGTCACGATTGGAAACCTGTAGCCAGTGGTCGTCAACATTTTAAGCATAATAAAATGTGACCCGATTTCAATGAAAATGATTCACTTATGTAAAAGTACATATAACGTTTGTGAAAATTCTGTACGTGATGGCGAAAAATGGATATCATTTTCGGATTCAGCGTACAGGAATTATTGTAGAACATGTAAAAATTTCAAGACAAACCATCGCAGGTCTGTGTTATTAATAATGGATAAACTTATCAGGAATTTTACATACGACTACTCCACAAACAGTGTTTAACACTTTAAATGATATCTTGAGACAAGCGTAATATTCCTTATGTAAGTTACTAATTAGTGGTTCTGTACAGTAGTGTAGTGGTAAAATTGTTTGTACTCTACTAAATCCTAATAATTTTCCAGCCCTTGAATTATATATGCATTTAATTTGTTTATAATTACCCCTAATTATCAATCAAGTTTACATAACCAACTAGTATATCTGAATATAAAGATGCAATTGATAAATTATCTGCAGTTCAGTTTATTTAGCATATCCACATCACAACAAATATATTTTTTGTCTATGTCTTTATCTTTAAGTCATCATTTAAATATACATTTTATTATTTTTCAAAAATAGCATATGGAACTAAAGGAGTATAATTACTATTTCGAATCGATTAAGACTAGCTTTTAAGTAGGAATATATATAAAACTCTGAAAATTATATTTCGCTTTCTTCATCATTATTCTTACTAAGAACACCGTGAATAATTCTGAACCCATGCGTTAAAATTGAGTCATTTAAGCGTTATATCTAGTTTTACATTTCGACTATTGTTTACACTATCGCCATCTGGTGTTAAGTAACTTGTTTTTTACGTTTCGAAACAAAAACATTTTAGAAATGTGAAATTATTATCAACAACGTAAAAAAAAAGAAAAAAAATGCTAAAAGCCATACAAGTACTGGAATTATTTTCTTATTAAATCTACGAAAAAAAAAACACTTTGAAAATGTGTAAAATCACCTGATAGATCTGTAAGCATATCGAGTTGTTATTATTTTATAATCGCTTCAAGCGAAATATAAAAAAAAATCAATCATATTCATGTTTCATTATTTTGTGAATTAGGATATGGTTATTTTAAATTAAAAAAACAACAACAACAATCAAATTAATGTGTAATTGTATACAGTAGTTTTCAGTGTACACAGCACCAAGAAAACATGCTGTTAAATTTTGGCTCTAGAAAGTATTATATACATTAATTATATACATGCATATATATTTAACTATTGCTTGATCATACGTTTCACTGTACTTATGCGATCGTCTAGGATGAATGGTAATTAACTATGCCCAATTGGGACCCAAAACAGTTGAATTAAAATGAAAACACATACACAAACTAAAACAATAAGAGTAGGACTACGAAGATTTGAATAATACCAGGGTTCTTGACTCCTTGTAGAATTTAAATGTATCTGTTTTAACCTAGAACTTCGAATCTAATGATGTTAGATTGCTTAAAATTAAGGCAAAATTTTTAAAACCAAATATTCCATAATATTGGATGGTACAAATGGTATCATGTGTTTATACTCTTACAAATTGTGGTCCAAAACCCCCATGTAAAGGGTTGATCATCTTTTACATGCGATAGATGCAAATCAATGGTGTCTTTAAAGCTGATTCATAAACAAATGTAAACCAGGAGATATTTGAAATTCGACTGCAAAGGAAGTCGATATTTTACGACAGCTGTTATACTTTTAACTGGAGTGTATTTTCAAACTTATATTTAATTTCTGGAAAAATCGGGTTGAACGTGGCCCAGAGGTTAACGCGCCTAGCTGTGGTTCGAAAGGTCCATGGCTCGAGACGAAGAGAACTTTGAATATGCTCCGTGCTTTCGGTTCAAGAAGTCTAGGAGTAGCGGGTGGTGCTGTCTGGCTTTCTTCCATCTGCTCAATAGTTGAAAATTAGGGAAGCTTATGACTGAATTCCAGAGAACTGTTGCCTGGCCATTCAGTTTACCTGGCAGTAATGTGTCCTTCAGGTAGAAAAATTCAATTCGTGTTACTGCTGCGCCCTCTAATGTTAAAAAAATGCATAACTTGAATAATTATAGCTATAAATTGGCAAGCTATTAAATTGCGCATAGTGCTCGATTATATATGCATTTTTTCATATTGAAGACTCTTTCTCGACCAAGAAAATGTATGTAAATTCTTATTATTAAATATCTCCAAATATGATGCTAAAATTAAGCGCATACATCAGCAATAAGTTTCATAAAAAGAACAATATGATATATTTACTTTGTATTAACATTTTATTCTCTTCCGAGAGCCCCCAGTGGCACAGCGGCATGTCTGCGGACTTACAGCACTAGAAACCGGGTTTCGATACCCGTGGTGGGCAGAGCACAGATAGCAAGCACATCGTGTAGCTTTGTGCTTGATTCCAAACAAACAAACAAACTCTTCAGAGAAAATATACATGACATTATTATAAGATTACAAATAAAAAAGATCCAAATCCCTTAACATTTATAGAAAACGGAAATGTTTAATGATGTGTATATATACACGTGATATATCCTCAATATAGAGTACGTGATAAATCCTCAATATAAAGTCTGATTGTTTTACTGATAGGCTGTCTAAATTTCATGTGTAAAAGATCTGAAATAAATTTAAAGATATATATATTTATGATTTATGCGAAATACATAAAAGACTAACATTACAGTAGATTTAACATATATAACAAGGTCTCAAAGTATACTCAATCTTCAGATAAATTAATATGATTTATAATACAATTATTAATTGATAATCATTTAAATTGTTTATTTAACTATCAGCCAGTATATCTTTTTAATCTTATGGTTTAAATATATTTGTATTATATTTTCACCTTTACTATCATTAGGATAGGCTCTTATACTTCTTTTAATCCATAGTGATTAAAGAGATAAAAAACAAAGGTAAATACAGTACTCACTATCTATTAACTGCCACATGAGTCGACATTACTCATAGATAATTAGATAAAAATTCACAGTGTCATTTAGTACTAATGGCCGCCCCCCAATGGCACAGCGGTATGTCTGCTAGAAACCGGGTTTCGATACCCGTGGGGGCAGAGCGCAGATAGCCCATCGTGTAGCTTTGTGCTTAACTACAAACAGTACTAGTGACCAAAGTTGCCCTTGTACTTAATGTAATCTCGTGGAATAATGGGTGCTGTAAACAGAGAAAAAGGGGTTTCAGTGTTCTGTTATTGCAGAAGTTTTTTTTATTGATACGTGTTTTATACAAATGGGGATAAGAAAGTGTTATTTTAGTCATTTCAACTGAACTTCATTATTAATTCTCTAGCCTTTAAAATTTGTTAGAAACTTAATATGTTAGTTAAATTACATTCTTATTAAAGAATCTATTAACACACACACATATATATATATAATTATTTAA